GGATGTAATGCACAGTCCGTTGTCAAGGTGTAATGCACTGAAAATCCTTACTCTTTAGGAACGACACTGAGTTGGAATTGGCACGCCCATGGGAACCCAGACTCTGAACTTCTCATATTGTTCTCGTCATCAGTGAACTTTTAATAATGGTGTGGTCAAACTGCAGGACAGAGAAAAGTCTGGCATTAATAGTTAGAACAGGAACTGAATTTCCATGTTTTCTTCTTGCGATCAGACACTGGAACAATAGGTGAATAATACTGCTCAGATCTTGCTGATGATGGTTCATGGGGACCAGGAAAATTCACTTTACCTGAAGCGAGACTCGTCACTGAGCAGGCTTTAAAGCAGTTCGACTTTTTAAGAACAGATGACTAGAAACAGCTCGCGTTTTTACTCTACTTTTAAACTTATGAGTAGCCTAATAAAAAGATCTTCAGCGAGGGCCTTCCAGTGGCCTCGTTTTTGGCGCTGTTGAGGTATTAAACCAAACGGAATACGGCGTTTCAATGTAAATGGGCAATCTGTTCTTCTCAAATCAAGTTCCGAGTAGGTCCACCGAGAAGCCGATTGGAGTCGTTGTTTTTGATGGGATTGTCACAATTTAGCTAATTTGTATCGTGGCTATGCATGCACACAGATGGGCATGAAAACCTAAGAAAAATAAGATCTCAGGATCCAATGAAACTCATCCATTAGAGTTCCAATCAAGAAATGGTTTTAGTATCTAAGTGTCAGTGGCGAATTTCATCAGGCTGTCATCGTCAAACCAATTCACTAGTTAGATAAATCAGGATGAAACCCACCTATTAGTAGACCGGAACTAAAATTGTGGAAGGCCACACAACCGAGCAATTTTCTTGTCCGAGTTGGTAGTAGATAGTATTGCTTACAAGAAAAAATTGATCGAATCTGGTAAAATGGTCCTACGCTGCCTAATTGGATACGGGCTTCACTAATTGTGCGGTGCACCACGTCAGTTTAAACAAAGTACTACCAGTATCAAGAACTTACGCATCAGAACGTATATTCCGGAGTCGTGGTCTTACGTCCTCCTCTTTTGGCTCACCTGAACCACCATCGTCATCGTTATCATCGTTATCATCGTTGCCATCGTTCATCATCATCATCATCATCATCATCATCATCATCATCATCATCATCATCATCAGCAGCAGCAGCAGCAGCAGTAGCGGCCGCAAAAACCGCATAATTACCTTACACTAGTTATAGTTGTCACCATTTCGTTCGCTGATCATCTGGAGGGATGGGTTAGACAGCTGCGTATCAGAGGAAGTAGCTTATATTATAAATAAAAGAGTGTCCGTGAATTTTTAATTGGGAGATTAGAGGGAGAGCCATGCGTTGAACTTAATGGCTTGGATGCCCAAGCGTAAAATAGGGCGCGACTGCGTCATCTCTGACAATGTCTCGTGGTATCCATCCAGGAAGACGGTAATGGCCAGCGCAGCTAAGTTTGCTGGTAATGGCTTACATACTTCACTGTCAAGTCATTGTTTAACTTCCCTGGGCCCGTTTCCACCCTTCACATGGTTTGAGAAAAGACCCCTTTGAGGAAGCCGGTCGACTTCCATACGGAGCACGTGACCCAGCCAGCGCGACCGATGCAGTGTGTCCAGTTGACCTACCGTGGGCGAGTTATTGTCCTCAAAAAGCATTCAACCTACTTCAGCATTACTGATCCGGTGATTCCATAAGGCTAGGGATATGTTAAGAAAATGTATAAATCCACGAGGTATTCATTATGTAGGAGCTTTTAACGTCCGTGCTCTATGTCAAATTGGCGAACAGGCAATGCTTTCTGAAACCTTATACCCCCTTAAAATGGATGCATGCTGTGTCTCCAAAACACGCACACAAGACCTGAGCCTGGTTATGCATCTCAGAACGCCGAGAATGAACTCAGCTCTTTCACATTTCTCCTTCCATGTGTCCGGTAACCTAGAAGTGACGAAACGTGGAATATATGACGTGGGAGTTGCACTCAGCATCAGAGCTGAATGTGCTTTGCTGGTTGAATCCCAGTGAACAGTCGCCTTTGCGCCGTCCGGTCATCCAGTTCAATGAAGTTCAACGCCTCTTTACATAAAAAGCGGTGCCTGTTTGTAGTGTCGGCTTACGCCCCAACGTACTACAGTTTTGATGCTGAGGAGAATACTCTCCACTGAGAGCTATCCGCGCTCCTTCGTCAAGCAAAAGCATCGATATTGTAATCCCTGCGGGCGATTTGAATGCTCAAGTAGGTCTTCTGAACTCCCGGGAATCACATTTTGGCGGCGAGTTGGAGTCGCTGCTTGCCTCACAGACAACGAAGATCGATTCCTTCAAATGTATGGTGATCATGAACTGTTTCCGGCTAGTACAAACTTTTAACATAAACGTTTGCATCGTATAACCTGACGGCTACCAAATGCAAATCAACCGTGGAGCTGGTTGGACCACGTGACCATCAGCAACCGAAGAAAAGCCACAATTCAAGACTGTCGTTCCTTCTGGGGCACACCAGATTGATTCCGATCACGCCGTGGTACGTAGATACCCAGGAGCTCGTTCCACGTCAGGTCCTAGCAAGTCAGCAAGAAGCATGCCAATTCATTATCTTTGAGGAACTACCAAAGCTCAACAGTGTCGATCTGAGCATGTGGATACGGGAAAATGTTAGCGGCCATCAGTACTGTCTGACTTCTCCGATTCGACCACAAGACCACAGGATGTTGTCAACTGACTGATGCCAGGAAATCCATACTAGCAGGTAACGTCTAAGACGGTGCACACAAATCCCTCAAACGCCAAATAGTGAAGAGGCTAAGGAAAGATTGAGAGCTCTGGTGGACATCGAAAGCCCTATATCAACTGATACGATCGACTGGCCTTAGGAAAGCAACGGTCAGCGAAACGATAAGTGAAAAGGATGGCCCATGAATTTGCCTGCAAAAGCGTCGACTAGAAAAATGGGCTACACACTTCAAAGAGCAGCTTAGCTGGCGTGCTGCAACTAAGTCTGTGGAGATAGCGCATACGGGCGAATGGAATGTAAATCTTGGTTGTCCATCTGAAGAAAAAATAAAGTACGAAATATCCTTACTGAAACGTGGCAAGACACCAGGACCGGACGGTTTGTATCCAGCCCTCTTTAAAGAAGGCGGAGAATCCCTGGTGGCTTATGTGACAAAGTTAATTGTGGCTATACGGAACGAAGAAAAGGTGCTTGCAGTATAGGGCATGTCGACAAATATTCCTATCTTCAGAAAGTTATGCGCGGACGCCGTGTGAAAGCCACAGTGGCATCAGTCTGTTAGCTGTAGTATCGAAGGTGCCCTCTGGCCTCATTCTTCGAAGGTTGAATGAACACAGGGACAGACAGATCAGTGAAAACAAAGCTGGGTTCTGTCCCGCAGTAGGATGCATCAATCATATCTTCACCCACCGAAAGTCTCCGGAGCAGCGACACTGATTCCAGCAACCAACAATGGTTGTGTTTCTTGACTTGAAAGCTGCCTTTGACTCTGTAAACCGTCGGGGACTATGGTAGTGTCTGTGTAGGAAAGGTGTTCCCCACAAATTCTTGACCGTCCATGAGGCGCTGTACGCCCGTGGCCGTGTGAAGGTCTACAGAACGCTCTCTTCTGAGTTAGCCACATTGAGTTGTGTCAGACAATACTGTCCTTTTTCACCTTTCCTCTTCAACTTCGTCATTGATACGATCATGGAAGACTCGCTATCAGCCTCCAATGGCTGTGAGGTCAAAATGCTTCCGGGGCGTCCGCTCACAGATCTGACGCCGTCGTAGTGCAAACAATAATAACTAATCTAAATAATTCTGCCTCAGGGTTTGGCATGCATTTCCCACCTGCAAATTGTAAAGTGCTACTGCAAGACTGGGTGAGCTCGAACCCTAGCCTCATGCTTGCGATGAATCGATTGAGGAAGTAGACAAATTTGTTTACCTGGGCAGCTGTATCACTTCCAATGGTCTCGCAAAGGATGATATCTTCATCCGGATTGGGAAGGCCAGAGCAGCTTTTTTGAACCTGCGTCACCTATGGGTTAGGCGTGACGTCACGTCATCTCTCAAGAGTCGAGTTTACAATGCAGCAGTGCGATTTATATTGCTATACGAGTCAGAAGCATGGCTACTGTGCTCCAAAGAGTCAAAAGACTTGCAGTGACTGACCATCGATAACTTCGGACCATTGCTCTATTCTGGTGGGAACACCGAGTAAGCAATGCTTAGGTACGCCGGATGGTATTTGGAAGAAATGGCTCACCTTCGATAAATGAACTGATTATACTGCATAGGTTGCGCTGACTTGGTCACGTGCTGAGTATGACGGTCAACCGATTTCCTCGAAAGGCACTTTTCGCACAACTACGTGAAGGGTGGAGGAGGGCCAGAGGTGGTCAAATAATGACTTGGAAGCGAGGTATAAAAGGCATTACCGGCGAACTCGGCTGCATTTGTCATTGCGGTCTTCCTGGATGGGGACCCCGATACAAGACAAATCAATAGTTAGGGACTGTCAGATATGGCCCAGTCGCGACTTCAACAATGCTGATGCATCCAAGCCTTCAATGCACAGCACCCTTTTCAATCTCCCCGCTTGACAGTCCACTGACAGCGCCGTATTTACGCACCAATGTATCAGCTCCCGCCTCCAACGCCTAGCTATCTACCTCACCTCCCCATATCATCAGTGAACGAAACTGTAGCAGCCACAATCACTGTACGACAAGTTCGCGGTTCTTACATCTGGGTGATAAGGATGACTACTTAAGGCGGTTTACAGATGAGTCTGCCGACAGTAAGGAATATCACACAACTCCAATAACGGACCCTTACTGACAAGTAGCTTCTTGATGACGCGGCTTACGTGAAAAATTTACCTCTCCTGTTAGTTCACATCTCTGAGGAACCAACTAGGCATGACAGACAAGGTTCTACCCTCCACTCACTAGAAGAGAAAGTAGGTAAACAACTTCTGGTGTTGTTATTGGCCCTGAAGCCTTTGAAGTCAAGTTGCTGTGACCGAACTTCCTAAATATAGTGTACAACGAATGGAAATTAAAAATAATAAGTAATTGTTTGGCATTTTTGTGTATCCCCAAGTTCGCACCAAAGAAGAAAACGAGTTATATCCGGTCGCATATCTAGAGACCGGAAAAAATAAGTAGATATTTCAATAAAAACATCTATTGTTGATAAATCGGCATTGGTGACGGAGGCTGCACCTTGATTGGGATCGCTGATTTTTCCTCCTCCGGTGATAGCAGATTTTGAGTCCCGGCAGAGGTCGACCTCAACTCCTGATTAGCTTCAAGATCCGTTTCTATTTCATTGGCCGTTATTTTGAAGCTTGTTTTCGCAGTAGGTCGGTTGGACGGTCTCCTTCCTTTGACTTCAAATATATCACAAGAAGAAACTCTCAAGCTTGCTTCTTGAAGTATCCTCTTCGCAAATCCAAGCAAAACCACGTCTTCTGCATTACTCTCGGAATTCGTTGATTTCTCCGGGGTGAGAATCCCGTTGCAGGATGTGTTGTCTGTGATGTTTGATAAGTTGTATTTTGTAACAACTCTTTTGTGAGCTTTTTTCACCATTCGGCCCAGATTAGTATTCCTCTCGTGGTTGGGAAACCCTGAAGAAGGTTTACTTTCTTGTTTTGTGAAGGAAATAATCGCTAGCTTAAGCGGCTTCGATATTTTGGAAACGGATCTATTTGTTTTGGCTGTAGGTTTCTCAACACATGACTGAGTTGCTCCAAGGTAACTGAAAGGACCGCGTTTCTGTGGAGCACCAGACCGCACTTTTGTCTTGGTTTTTTCGGTCGCATCGTTTTTGGATAGATCGGTTTTGCAAAATATCTGACTTCGATGTCTAGCATAATGTCGAGCCCCAGAATATTGTTCCGTACGAACGTCTGTTGGAACCAATAGACTTAGTTCACGTGAAATGTGTCCACGACTCAAGGAACTACTGCTCCATATGTTACGCCGGCGTGGATCATTCCCTCCAGAGGCTGGTCTACTAAAGGGAGGCGCTACATCTCCTTTGGCAAGAGGGGGCTTTTCATCAGATGTCTGATCCGCAGAAACTACTCGTTTCTCCTCAGCTAGCGAACCGACCACCTTAAGATTCGTTTTGATCATCGTTGGCGTATGTTGTTGGAATCTCTTCGTCTTCATGCGTTTACCGAAACATTTCGGTTTAATTGTATTTGTCCTAGCTTTCATAGGGTTCTTCTCTTTGCGGCAGTAAAGCACCGTGTTGCTTGTCACTCGCTTTTCGGAAGAAGCTGGTACTGCATCGATTCGGTTGTTTGGGGAAATCACTTTGATTGGTAGGCTTCCATCCGATTGCGGCGGGACCGTAAACAGATTAATGGTGGATTCCGTTTTGTTTTTACTCGGTTCGTTTTGTGTAGCAGTGGGTGGTATACTTTGAAAGAAAGAGACAAGGCAAGCACATGGTGATGCGGCGTCCTTTAGATAGTCGAAGAATTTGGTCAAAGCTACCAAGACTACATTTTCTATATGTGAAAAATAGCAAACTGTTTATGTATAGAAAATTCGGGCATGAAAAAGCAAATAAAATCAGGTCAAATATCCTCAAAACCGGCACTTGTTCTTTGATCCGGTACTGATGTGTTTGGAAGCAAACCTATACCCACTGCTCAGTGTAACAGAGTGAAACCTGTCCACACGCAAAGTTGTGGTGACATATTCAGGACTCATTCACAACTAATCTAGGTGTAGAGCCTCTGAGATTTCGGTAGACCTATCCTTAATATGGAAATATTATTTCTTATTGGTCAACGAATACGTTGCATAAAATGCTGATTTGGTTTCACTTGCCTTGAACACATTGTGCAGCTTTTCCACTGCTGTCGAGTAACAGCAGTTGATACTTCATGTATAGTGAGGTAGAATGGAACTATAACCACTGGCATACGGACTTATCAGTCAACCTCGAAGATACTATGGTTCAGGCAGCAGAACTGTGGAGCAATTCATTATTCTATAGGATAGGGCAGTTATTACATTTGCTTAAACGCAGTGAAATTTTTTGAAGAAACCAGATTGATACACTATGGCACTTGCGTGTGTATGATTGCATGCTATTCTGAAATGGTATTCATGGTTTGACGGACCTGTTTTCTGCCAACTCTATTAATGATCGCTCCGGGATCTGTCAGGCCATGCTAAATGTTTGGCTGGTTACCTTTTAAACATTTTCTCAATGAAAAGTTCTACTGAATACCTTGTGTTATTCAGTCAGGAAAGTTACCACTGTGAGTTATATAGGTGGATGGAACTGTAGTCGAATGATAAATACCACAAACTATGTGAGAATATCGAGTCAAATTACGGATTCCTGGCGTACGAACCCGCTCTTGACTAAGAAACTGTTAGGTCTTGGAGAAAAGTTGCAGATTTCGCAATACTTTAAACAGAGAGACAAGCCTTTATAGGACATTTGTCCGTGCGATGAAGCTTGCCTAGCTTTGTCTTGCGTACTGTAAGTCGGACACGCCAATACTTAGTGGCTGGTAGCTAGAAACCGAAGACAAGGGCAGCTTTCAACATTACAAGACTTTAAAAGCCACACTTAAAGCTGCCACGTTCACACTGGAAAATAAGAAGGAATTATGGGATCTTTTTGAGGTATTTAGGCCGGAACAAACTGATTATTGGTTGTCGATTTGTTCGCTGAGCTGAGCTGGGCAATTTGATTGCAAACGTTTCATCATCAATGGAGCCCCAGACATCATCAGTGCGTTGTTGAGGAGTGTAGTGGTGGGTAGCTAGTGGTAAGTGGTTAGTAGCTACCCACCACTACGCTCCCTAACAATGCACTGATGATGTCATCTCGACTGGCGATGAAACGTTTGCAATCAGATCGCCCAGCTCAGCGAACAAAACAACGACCATCTACTCTACCTCAGCTTCTGCTGATTATTACTTGTTATGTCAAATCTCTCAGTTGACAGCCGATCAACAGTATGGCTCGTGGGATCCAACCACACGAATCTAATTGAGGAAGCACGCTTTTTTGGGGCTGCAGCCAGTGGATATTACCGAACAAGATAAAAGTGTGCGCAGAACTCTAGTTGCAAACTTCGATAAGCTGTATGCTAGGTCCAACTAAAATAGAGCAGCAGGCACTTGTGGCTATGTTTAGAATTTCGCCAAAAAGACTGGAAATTCCGTCCAAAGGGTCAAATAGCTAACTGATGGAGCTGACTGCGAAAGTGAATTTAATCAATTTATTCTCGGGCAGAAGGATGAGCCTTTTAGATTATGTGGCAGCCGTTAGCAACGCAGAATATTTCACCAACTATGTGCCAATGCAGTACTAACGCAATAAGCGACATAGCATCAGTGCCATTAAGTAAATTTTTTGGTATCAGGTAGTGACAACGGCCAGAATCTGGTGAACTGCTTTTGACATTCAAGCAGTACGTAGACGATATGGAGTACGACAACAATGATACCCAAGCGATATCCAGCATGTCACTCAAAGCTAAAGAATCCACCCTAACCAACGATCTGATAAGCTGATGAGCGCAGATCACTTTCTGCGACGGAAAAGGCCAAATTAGCATCTTAGTAAACGAATATTAGAATCCCCTGGACGCATCAATCAAAAGTGATTTGGTTAGTAATCAGAGACGAACACTTACCACTGTCTAATGAAGGATGCAAGACTGTGCGATTTCTTCAGTAGTTCACGATTTTCAACATGATTTTCAACAGGGTTATGGGACATTCTGGAAGCCTGTTGTCCATCATTTGAACGTGGCACTGGAAGCTGAACGCCTTCCACACGTAAGTCTAATCCGATATATACCAACGGATTGTGTAAAGCCTGGCGGTAGATTTGTTCAAAATGTCCTGTCTCACAATTGCGGTCCAGTCGTCTATCAAGAACAACTTATAGTAAAGAGAGGAAAGTAGAAAATCCAAATTTTGAATTTACCGTATTTCTGACAGCTATTACTAACAGTTATTATGCTTACCTAGATTTGATCAATATCAACGGCGTCATTTGGCCGTGTATATGTTGTTACATCAGTTGAGTACTAGTGAATTCACAGTGGAGGTACACGGGATTTCAGATGACAACTGCTTGTAAACGTATACTGTTTATAATACTACTCATAAACAAAGTGGAAAATATCGAGCTGAAGTCCTGAGAGGAGGATACAAAAATCCACCGCTGTCCGCTGAACACCAGTGGTAACAACCCAAGAGCCAAAACTGCTAACCTAGGGTTACGCGTCTTTTCCCACCCCCGGATGAATTCCACCTAAGTCTGAAGTGCCTCATGTGGCTAAACTACCGATGGTTCGGTCACATCTGTTAAAATATCTACTCGAACTCCATGTTGAGCGTGCATCAGCTGTTCTGCAAGGACTGAAAACCATCAAGAAAGAAAAATCGGATTCCCTGGGTAAGTCAGCTGAGTAGACCGAAGTCCAAACTATTTCTAATGCTATTGCTGTGCAAAATGGTAAGTGGGCGCTGGTTCCTGGCTTCAACAGCCTAAAACATATCTAAATACCCTACACCCACATGGCGAAGTCCAACAGGAACAAAGCATTCAGCGTTGCTGCGTTTTATTAGGGATACAAAGGACTGATGGGAACCAAATGTTCATGTGTATTCCTTTAGTCACGTCTATCTTCACTAACGATGTGATCTGGATCTCGCCAACCTTGGTAAACCTGGCCATATGCACCAAATATCCGTGGAGAGAGCCAAAAAGTAAGGTCGTAGGGGGTACTAGGTTCCTGTATTTACTTATGCCAAACCATATTTTATTACGGTTTCACTGATACCATCTTTATGAAAAGACCTCTTGCGGCTGATAACTGTTGGCAGTTTTGTAGCCATTACGAAATGAGTGACAAGATCTACTTTGCGACAGGTACTGTTCTCACTGCCCCTCACCATTTATTACAGTTGCTGATAACGACTGAATTTGCTAACTTCAAGTAATCTCTTGAAGAGTCGAAAAATGCATTAGAATATATTCGAATGCAAGTATCCTCATAAAGGATGGATTCTAGTGATAACAGGATGGATCATCCCTTTCCACAAAGTGGAGCGGTTTTCTCCGCAAGCAAGTACCTAAAATGCATGGTTCCAGCGCTAAATCCGATACAATAGGCTCCTTTGGCCAAATATTTTTATTTGATAGCACTGTTTCAGAACAAGTAATCTAAACCCGGTATCGAATCCAGGGATGTTTGTTTTCATATGCGCAAAACTATGTTTCCTGACGATTAGCACCATGATACAGCAGAATAAATCGGTAAAATACATAGAGCACAAAGTTCACAAAGTTGGTAGATGAGGAAGGCACTAATTGTGGCATTACCTCGAGAATTTACGGAGAATGTCTGCACAGTTAACCCACTGAAATGCATGAGACTCGCAGCATCTGTTGCAGGGAAGTCTGATGCCAAGTAGTAAGTGTAGCATACAAAGCTTTGGGGATGAAATAACAGGTAGATAGTGTTTCAGCATTATATAACTTTGTCACATTTCCTCGCTTACTCTGTCCGTCTCCGAAAAGCACTGTTCATGAAACGAACCGATTGTTTCGGAAGTTCACACTCTGGTAAACATCTTCGGTCATATCGATGTCTACAGAAACGGGTTCAAAGGTGATAATGGAGGGCTACTGTGAGTAGCCCATCTATAATGTCAACGTTAGAAGTTATCGTTCACTAAAAAACCTTTGGTGATCGAAATGTGGAACCAAACCGTTGTAATCACTTCAAAATCACTCACCTTTTATGGTGTCCTCTAGTACATTGGCTGTCAGCTTGGCCGTAACCGTTGTGCTGGGCGCCATACATGGACTGGAGTTAATTTCAAGAAGCCATACCTTGAAGTCCTCGGTAAGCATAAAATCCGCACCATACAGCGCAAAACAATTCTGCGAAATTCAATGCAAAAATTTAACTCTCCATACTATTTTGTTTTTCCACGAAGTACCAGTGAACCAGGATCCCTATTGAAACAGTTTGACAAATTGATTTCAATCCGTCCTAGACTGATATGGACCATATTTGCCGCAACATTAAAACGACTGACGTAAGGTTTTTAAAGTTTTTTTACTAAATCACTGCACGAAAAAGCTATAGGTTCTTCTTCTACTTTACACAATCTGTTATTATTGTGGCCTTTTTTCGAGCGGTCGACTCTTTTCACCAGTCTACCGGGAAAATTTCCGAATGGAAATCTGCTTGTTGATATTTAAGACAGAATTGGCAAATCTCTGTTATCCCTATTTTTAAGAACAAGGATTAGGTATGAGGCAGCAGAAATCAGTGTCATCCAGATACGGAGAGGCTTGTTTTCACAGCGCCGTGTGAGAAACACCATAAAAGCGCGGATAATCTCTGACACGGCGAGAAAAACCCGGAAGAAGTGGAAGAGAACTTGAATACTGAAAGAAAACTCCACCACTATAATCAACAGCAACAAAAGCTGATGCATTTGTTCTTGAAATCATGACATGACACAAATCAAATCAGTCCGAAAGCATGCCAAATCAGATGAAAAAGCGATACATTATTAGTATACATCTTTAGACACCTAAGTGAGCAAACAAATAGGGTGATTATTGGGGAAAACAACCAAAAACAGGAATCTATAAAAGACTGCAACAAGGCCTCCCAAGGAAGCAATTGGGTGATCACCTTGCGAACATCCATGCCATCTTGAACGCACAGCAGTGCACCAATTATTGCACGTTTCATCTCTGGCTGAATCTGACTGTCCCAAGTGTCTTCCCGTCCTTGATTTCTAACAACGAAAGAAGGAATAGGAATACGTGGTGCATATATTAGGCAAAAATGTCATTTAAAATGAAAATATGGTTAGTTTAATCTTATAGTTGAGGTCAATATTTCAGGTTATTCCAACAGTGCCGCACTAAATAAATAGGAATTAGGTGGAAGTGACTAGAAAATTGCTTTTAAAACCAATCACATTGATGTTTCCATAAAACTAGGAGAAACTACTCAATATCGAGTACGAGTGTAGAGTTTATCAATGCTGTTATGGGTATCTCACTTGAGCCAACTTCGGAACTGTTTCAGGGTCCACATATTCTCCGCTGGCAGGCTTTCAGACCGCGCTCCGTTTGTGTACTTGTGTTGGATCGAGTTGTTCGACAGGTGGATAGCTCTATAATTTAGTTTGGCAGAAGAGGCATGAGTTAAAATGCGTATTCATTAGGCCACTCTTCAAAGAATAAACAGTTGATAGTTTGTTTCAACCACTCCGGTTTACGAGGTCAAATCTTTACCAAAAATGTTTTGTAGCATTTGTGCACTAAATGAACGAAAATGTGTATTTTGCACTTCACACAAGTGTTATTCTTAAAAAACAAGCGGATCGGAAGAAAATTTCATCCGAGGTCAAGATTGATGTTATAGTTTTATGGATATCCGTTGAACGGTTAATCAGCTTGTCGTCGAGTCGTAACTCATTTTCTAATTGAAGAGATAAAGTTTAATTGATCTTTGATGTTGCCTTGAAGAGAAAATGCTTTGCTATTTTCTTTCTGTTCTTTCTCCATAGGATAGCACTTTGGCTACCTTAATTCAGGAAGCGAATCATCTCGTGTTGTCTTGTGTCTAAGAGCGAAAGGATGTCATAGTTGCCTTTAAGACCAAATATCAGATTGCACGAAGCTATACTATAGTATAATTTACTATACCAAACTACGCTAGACTGTACCATATTATTCTGTGCTATACCACTGTGCTATCCTATCCTATTTTATCAAATACTGTACTGTACTACACCATACTGTGTAATGCTACTTCGTGCTGTTATTCGACAACACCGACTTACTTAGTTGCAAGGGGAAGGCAGTCAGTACTAGGTATTCAGTATATCTTTACTCCGGTGGTGTTGGAAGTGCAATGTGAAGTTCTTGTTCACTTGACCTTTCTGTATTTTATCGCTAACATTTCTTCACACTGCTGAGGCGATCTCGCTATGGTAGTTATTGTCACAGACTTACTCACTGAAGTCATCCAGTGTGAATTCTTGCGAGCAGAAGCGCAAGTAGCATTCATTGTACCACCACACAGTAAGGGGGGACCAATCAGTTACGAGAAACCACTGACGTATATCGAATTTTGTCTTGTACAGAAGCAGCGGTGTCTCTAAGTATTTTTGCACAACGAATCGGCAGTCTCCACAATTTAGTGAGCCCTGTGAGATCCGCAGCACTTCGTCTAGCCGGTTAGAACAAGTGATACCTGAGATGAGAAATTCAGGATATCCGAAGTAAGCAGGTGCCGCGTGAAAGCGGAACTCAAAAAGAGGTCAGTTAATTGAAGAGATAAGGAAATTACCCGTGATTTCCATGTTTAGAATGTTTCTTTATGTTTAGACAGTGGGGAAATGCCGAAGTGAAAAAATGGGCCCATCCATAACAAGTTTAAATTTTTCGGTTAGAACAAGTGATACCTGAGATGAGAAATTCAGGATATCCGAAGTAAGCAGGTGCCGCGTGAAAGCGGAACTCAAAAAGAGGTCAGTTAATTGAAGAGATAAGGAAATTACCCGTGATTTCCATGTTTAGAATGTTTCTTTATGTTATGTTTAGGGGGAAATGCCGAAGTGAAAAAATGGGCCCATCCATAACAAGTTTAAATTTTTCCCACAAAAACTCTTAATAATAATATAATGTAATATAATAATAATATACGGCATGCAGGCGCAGACTGATGTCCATTCTTGATGAAAAACTTCATGGACTTGGGGGTTTGTGCCGACCTTCCAGGCGTCCACTATGGGGCGACATTCGGTGGACTGTCGGTGAATTTCAAACAGTTTTACTATACTTCCTTTATATACCTGTAGATAATAGCGATCAAATCATGCGTCGTTCATCGCCGATTTTAACTCCATTGGAATTGGTAGTCACCAGAATAAGTTCATTCTGCGCACACAAAGCCACACTTAGTCTTAAAACAAAAACTCACCAGAATTTGTGCTGGATTGCAAAAAATCCCACCAAAAGTAGGATAACTGATTTGAAAATATCTAATTCAAATAAACAGTCACATCCTTTTCTCACACGTGTTCTTATACATTTCTAGTCATAGATCCAAGAGGATCCAAGTTGATCGGATGGAGAGAATCTCAAAATGAATGGCACACTTCATTTTTCATGAGAAAAGTAGAATATCTAGACATTCGCGAAAGTCCACAAGTGACCTTAACTCTATACGTTATCCCCAACTCTGCACAGGGACTGAGCCGGATCTTAACAACGAGTATACTACGGATCATTACCTCATGTCTCTTTGGGCAAATTTGCGTTGTATTCAGTCTTCTGTGAGGAATACGACCTCAACTAGTAGCAAATTGTTTTGACTGATCGTAGTCTAATTAAATCGTACTGTATGCCAAAAGACCAGTATAACTCACCCCGGCCACGCGATTTTGCCCCGGGTTTCAAAATCCATATGTTGCTTGTTCCATCCAAATCAAACTGTGGAAGCAGTTTGCGAAGATAGCAGCACAGTTTATGGCATACTTGTGCGTATCCTCTCAAGTTGAGAATCATTTTTGGGTTTCTGATAAGATAAAAAGCAGTACAAGCGAAACCCATCAGAGTCACTCAGTGTGAAGAATGAAAGGGGTGCATCTACTTTCCACTGAAGGCTGTGATCCTTGACACTGTATTGCATAAATCATCTATATGGCAACTGCCAAGTGAGGATTCGGTTGCATTATCCTAGCTTCGAATTCTTTTCAACGTGGTTCTGGTACTAAGGAATTGCTATTTCCACCACACGGGGATGCAATTCATCATTTTTAAACGAAATATTTTCCAACTCTCACCCTAACGGGATCCACTTTGTTGAAATGTTTTTCAAATTTTGGTCTTATTATTCAATGAAGGAAATAAGTTTTATGATTGTGAGTTCTAGGACTGTCTGACTGAGTAACGGGTAAACAGTGGAACCTGCGCATCAATGACTGAGAAATTCTTCTTGAATCACATACCAGTGTCAGAAGGCCCTGCCTTTCTATTAGGCCTGTTTATTGGTAGTTACAGTGATCACAATCAGAAATGGATTTCCAGACCAAACTGGTTTCATCATAATGCGCCATAACTAAGCTTTAAGCCCCTTTAATTTTCTTGATAAATTTGCAACTTTGGACCTTTACAGACTATCCAATTGAACTGTTTGTTCGAACCGGCCGTTGATCCTCACGCAATATTGGATAGGTTCTAAGTCATTCATGAGAAATGACCAGAACATTCACGGGAAGACCTCTGAAAAAGGTGAATTAGTTTATTTAAAGACCAGTTTGACAAACACCAATCCGATGCGAAGGATGATCCTAATATTGACGAGAGTGATAGAACTAGCAATGATGTTGCTCTTGATGGTAATGACGGCGACGATATTGATGATCTTTATTAACAGTCTTATGATAACGATAATGGCAATGATGTTGAAGGTACTGATATTTCTAAAAAATCAACTGGTGGAGTTCGTGCTTTTAAATCATCACAATATGGAGTACACTAAGCAGGGACCAAAGAGCTTGTGCTGCCAGCCCAAGTTTCTTATGTGCCGCTTTTCCGTTTCATCAGGTGATAGAGTCAAGACTGCATGACTGGGTCTTAGAACGAACAGTGAGCTTTTTGGCCGTCTGTGAAAGACTAGAAGCATGTCTATTTCTTCTCTCATTGTGGTAGTATTTTTACAGCAGCGTCTTCGAATAATCACGTACGGATTCCGGAAAGAGAAGCACTTTCATAGACACTCAATTTGATTTGATTTGGGTCACCTTAAGGTAGCCCTGTGGAACAGATAATAAAGTTCCCATGCTCCTGAACTTCCGAGTTGGCTGTTTGTTTTGTTCAAGAGAGAAATCAAGATGCAAACAGTAAATTTGACAGCTGTATCGAATTCACCTAGCTGGAGGAAGGAACTCTTTCGTTACTAATGGTAACAAACTGGTGGAAAACGCCTTCTGCACATTGCCTACTGAGCACAAACAAATGTGCAGCTTGCTGCTTGGATAGTGGTGAGGAGTGGGCAATTGTTGCTGTTGGGATTTGCCGCAGGAGAAGCGATACATGCATTTGTGAACGCTAAGTGACGTACTTCCTGGTTTCGTAGTACCAGGTAAGAAACTGATCCCATGGCCAGAGCTTTTCATTGAGTTCCTGAAAAACGAAAACGTGAACCAATTTTAGGAATAGTAGTACCAGTCATCTGTGGCTAATTAGGTGACGACACTGACAAAGCGGGAGAGTGCGTTTGTGAACAAGAAGGACTCTCCATTCAGTTTCCTTCTCTTTCTGTATGTATACTAACTAACACGGCGTTTGCTATAGCAAGCGGCAGAAGAAAATAAAACTAAGAGCGCTTTTCCGTAAGCAAATTCGGTGTAGACGCTGATACTAATGAAATGGCTAGGAAAGTAACTGTGATGAGAAAAAGCTGTCGAAAAAATGTCAGGGCTGGATATTACTGTCAACATTTCGCCTAACTGGCTCACAGGAATCTCTCGGAGTCAATCAAAACACAACCATAGTTGTCAGTGGTCAAGTTCCACATGAAATCAGCTTTATTGCAGTTGTGATTTATCGATCGATACACACGATGCGCACTATATTGCCGGTGTACTACCTACTAGTGTTACATCTCAACACTGGTTTCTTCTCATAAACGCTGCACAATATTTTTCATAATTACTTTCACACAATATCCACTTTTTTCAGCAACTTCACAAAGCAAAATTTGTGGGAGTTATAGCATTTTAGAAAACGTACTCTCTCAACTGTCGGGTCATTAGGAACGTGTGGTAGAGAAATGCATTCCGCATATCTTCTGTAGCAAAATCTCAAGCCTGGGATTCGAAGTGAAGGATTTTGCAAACAGCAGTTTGTGTCTGTGCTTCATGAAACTTCATGAAGCGATTGTACTTTTTTCAGACCATGATAGAAGTCGTTCGCAGTAGACACAACTGGCGGGGTTCGAGACTTGGTAGACTGCAACTTTTTATGTGCAAACCTTTCAGAGTGTCTCAGACCATCCAAATATTTAACTTTAGACTGAGGGAGATTTAATAAACGTAGACACCATTGAATAACCAAGACCTCATTTATGAAACGTTGGAATTCGCAGGGTGGGTCAAATGTAAAGTGTGGGATTTGTCCAATATTTCCTACTGATTTTGAGAAACGGCAACACTTAAAAGTGTAGAACTTCTGTCACAGTGCTAGGCCATCGGCCTCCACCATTCCCACGAGCGCCGTTATGTGATATGTGACGGGGGCCGAAGGAAATCAGTAAGATAAAAAAAACCAATAGAATAGACTGATAACACCAGCACATCAAAATTACACAAATGCAGTCTCCATTCCTAGAACACTGATGCTGCTGTCTCTGGGGATGATGCTGACTGGCCAATGACTATCAGCGCGACCCTGTCTGTTTTCTTGCAGCTCATGTTCGTCCGAATTTAGACGATCTTCGGGAAAATCCAATGTATTATCATTTTTAGCTAAATTCCATGTTCACAGGCTACCAAGAAGACGTGTTACCTGATTCTGAGCAAATTGTGATGAGAAGAGCTGATAAAGAGAGAAATATGGCAGCGTGAAATTATTTCTGTCCCTACGCTTCTCGAGGATTCTACACTCAGGACTTAAGAGAAGACACTCCTTTTCTACCAAGAGCGAAAAACCATGGTGGAAATGTTCTAAAAGGACTGTCCAGATTTACTAATCTACCGATATTTTTAACCTTCACACGATAGTCTCTTAATATAGGACTGGCGGGTTTCAGAGATGTCTCGGATGCACGATACCTATGCACGACGATTGGTCTCCTTATCTGAACGAATTGTGGGTCACTGCCGACTCCAGCAGTGCACCCAGTAGAGTTGCTCCTGGTCGCTCTTTACAGTAATGAGCCGAGTTATTTGTGGTCATTCTAAGCCACAACAGCATCCTTAATGAAGTTTAAGGATGAAGCTTTTTTATGGCAGTCTCGGTGGTGTATCTGCATAGCTGCAGGTATGGTAGATCGTGACAAGTTTTCCAGATCTCGCCAGTGGACAGCGTCCCCGAATAATGAGCCCTCACTGTGTGTTGAAAACAATGGTCAGCTGTCAGATATGCTAGGCCTGCAGAAGCAATGGCTCTGAAGCATAAATCAGGCCCGGGTGATGGGGACCAGATATTTTGCGCAAAATAGTTTTTCGCAAAAGGGAGCAAAAGCTACATGAATGTCTGTCGGGTGATATCAACACGTCGTAGAATTTCTCCTTTACCCTGTCTGTCTGGGAAAATGCTTGAACCAAGTTATTTGAAGTCGGAAACATGTTGAATTATTTTGTTTCTTGTGTTGAGAGGCTGAATATGTACTATCTATTCGGGTGGAGAAAGCGTGGTCGTTGATGTTTTGATTTCGACTCCGTTGAATGCTGGGCAGTGAGATTATTTAGTACATGTTAAATTTCTTTCTAGTCATCAACTACAAAACGATATCATCAACGTATTTAAAGTCGCTATCCAAGTTTGGGCACCTAATAGGACACCAAAGTATCCTTCCAATACTTCAGCAAGTGACTAAAATACAATGAATTTAAAGTGTTCTAGCAACAGTGGCAGCCTCGTCTTACACCATATACGATGTCGAACTCAATAGTAACTTCGTTGTATACCCGGACGTAGTGTTTCACTCAAGAGTGATGTGTCTATTAGAACTGATGAACTACACCAGGAGACCGTCAGCTAAGAGCCTTATTCGTAGCGATTTACGATTTCCCGAATCAAAAGTGGCTAAAAATCCAGTGAGGCAAGATGTGGTAGGCTGTAAAGATTTGTAACGATGTTTCAGTTTTTGTGACGAAGCGAACAGTTGGTTTACATAGCCACTCTAAGGATGGGAGCTTCCTTGGGTTCGAACTCGTGGTTGTATGCCGTTTTCGGGAAACACGTAGTTACCAAAGGAAAGCGAACAGTCCAGTAGCAATACCAACAAGACGGATTCCGTGATATTTATCGTAGACCATCCCATCGGTTCATTTTCTAGTTGTGGTCGTTGAGAGATTCTCTGCTGGCTTAACGTTGGGGCCGAAATTTCCCTAACACAACGCGCACGAAGAGGGGAGGTTTTCCGAAATCTCTAATGTTCTTGGCCAATTACCTCTCTGATACAATAACCCACCGGGATGGGATGTAACCCCACGCTATTCATGTGGCTTTTTGCTGGAGTATGTAAAAGACAGCTCCTATGGTGAGACAGTTTCATCGTCTTTCTCAGAAATCTGGTATTTGCGACATCTGTCTTAGCCTTAGCTCGTTGTATGGAGCTTTCTGAGGCTGTGTACTGCTCTTTTACCGGAACGAGCTGGTTACGAGAATGGTTTAACCTATTAGCGTCTAATCCCGTGGTTGTGACACCGATTGGGTTTCTGGATGGCTAAGTGCAGCTATACGGACTTGCTCTGGAGGACAGTTCCTTCCTCTACAATCCGGGTGTGGTATATTCCCAGCCAGGTTTGTGGCGCGCGCTGTTGTGTCGTCCACCAGCTTCGGAGTCCCGGTCACACTGCCAATACTATCAAAAAATCTTGTCTCAGAGTCTTACTGGCCACCTCCTCTTTTGTGGTTGCATTCGACGCACTCTCAGGTACATGGTTCCTCTTAAATTAGACTACTAGGAGCCTTTAAGATCCTGGGTTTCAGTGGATAATTTAGCACGGCTACTTAAGACAAACGAATCATTGGGAGTGCTTAAGTTATCCACTGGTATTCTATGGGAAAGCCAACAGGAATTCTCTGACCTACAAAACTAGGTTCGTTGTATCCCAGGGCTAGGTTATCGGGTCTCTGGAGGATATACAATATTTGAATATTAGTGATGAAGAATGCATATACCGATAATCTGGCTGCAGCTTCAAATGAGTTATGGACATTCCGGCAATAAATGGAGAGTTTCTACCTTGTGGTGAGAAACGCAGCTTGTTTTGATTCCAGCCCAACCACTGGGCCAGTAAAGGGTGTGTCGATTTTCGGGGCTACTGTAGCACAAATGAACTGCTTATTGTCGACAGTACCGTAGACGTCTCAAGAGGATTAGTTATGGGTCACTCTCCCTGAGTCATTGATCGATTGGCAAATAATTCGCTTGATATCAACAGCAGTGCTGATACGCTACCAGCCAGACATCGAGCACTTATTAGTTGGAGTGTGTTTAACCAGTAAATTAGCCTAGATTACGTACACAGTGCCACTCGCTGAAACCACATTCGAAACCCTGACTGAGGGGGGTAAAGCTCAAACAGGGTGTGGGACTGCATGAAAAATCGTACTGTAGAGTTTTTTAAGGACTAACGTTGTTTCCTCTGTGAGGTAAATATAGAAAAATTGCGCCATTTTAGAGTTCATTTAGATAGAAAAGATTAGTCTTTCTTAATGATCAGGATAACAGATAACAGAAAACAGAAAACAGATACAGGTTCATTGAGCTGCACCAATGGATGCCAGTCAAGAATATGCAGGTCCAGTGAACTTCTATGACACTCATGCTCATCACTAGTATGGGAACCTCAAGCACTTATTCTAGACGACTCAGGATACTACAATTCACACTGGCGAAATCTTTTGAACAATCGGATACAATAAAAACGCTCATGGTCCCGATACAGGTGACCTACTGTACGGTAACGATTAGGTACCGCTACTCCGGAGGAAAGTCCAATCTATGAAACTGGTTATTTTCTAGGTATGTTATTCCAATGAAAGACTGTTTTATATTGCATGGCAAATGAGTAGGCTTATAAGGCATATAAAACAAATAACAGATTTATTGACATTGCTGAAGCTAGATTATCACAGATTTGCTAGCAACTTGATTTGTGCATTGGCACATCCCGGAAAAAACAAGTGTCAGGATCCAGTAGAAGAAGCGTTCGGAGAGATCCAAGACATTGGCCAGTACAAGTAAAAAACAACTTCTTACAGCTTGTGGTGAATCAAGATCCATGTGAGCTGCATTTCTAAGAAAGTATTGACAACGGGCTATGGCCATCTCGAGGACGATTGGTGGTAGGCTGTCCGCTTGCTCAGGCACGCACGATGGGAAGTTGATTTGGTCATCCAGGTGTTCCGAGGCTTTTGTGGGGAAATAGGAAAAGAAAAGTTTCAATGCTTTACTGAGCTTGGTTTATAACAACAAGCCAAAATATTTTTTGACCTGCACTTCTAGTCTAGCACGTCTGTTTCTGAGCACCTTTTGGAATCAAGTGGCACCCAACTGGCCGAGCGTACTCTGATTTTAAATTATTGACTAAAAGAAATAACACAGGGGAACAAAAAAGCAAAGAATCCTGAAAGTACTACTACACTTCGTTGATAAAATCAAGCACGAAATATAAATGATCGCCTAAGTAGTCGCTTGCATTGAACTCATAAATCCCACGGAGCCTACAAATTACTGGATGATTTCAATAGACAACGCAAACTTTAAACAAGTCATGCAGGAGAAAAGTGCATCTTTTAACAGTATGGCGGAAGCCAGAACACGGAAAGTACCCAAGTCTTTCACTCAATTCCTGTTTATCATTCTATTCACTAACAGTAAGTATAGTCATCGTCACCAAATTCAGCAATATCATTGTTGACACTGATGCTTCACTGCTGAACAAGGAAAAAGTCTTGACGTAATACACTGCTCGTAAGGTAGCTGAAAACTCTTCGAGAGCCCACGACCGATTTCGTACTTCTTGAGGTTCATCGGGTAGGTGCAATCCCCGAGGTTCTGTCAACCTTGCTTTCTATTCCAGCCCAAATTGCATGGAATTAGTGTAATACACTCGTTTTTTTCTTAAGCTTATGAACATCACAAACGACAGATTCAGCTGGATACAAGTGAGTCTTCCGTCAAACTATAAAATTTATCTAATCACGCCTAAAACCTGAAAGGCAAAAAGGGAGAAAAGAGTAGATAAAGGAGAGACCTGATACCATCGTTACGTAAGCAGTCGGAGATGAATACATCTCCAAGCGCTAAGTCAGGAAATTTGGAAACAAACTTGCAACACGAACCTCAATAGAATCAACTAGCCGCCATTTCCGGCAGTGTCTGCAACCAAGCGCAGGGCGGGACGTCACGAAGACTCCATCCTAAATGACAGACCAAACCAACAACTAAAATTTGCGTATTCTATTTCAAACCCTCCTATCAAGCCACACTCGCAGTTTGAGGTATTCTGAGGAGGTGCGGAGAAACACAGTCGTTTGAGTAGACGGTATTTCGACATACGTAGAAGATGACGGAGTCAAAGGAGTTGGTGATGCCGGGTGGGTGGCCACCAATTATCTTGGTTCGACGTGGGGACAACCAATCAAAGTGTCAACAGTTGTTGGCCTCCTGGGGGTTGGTTTATTGATGTTTTTTTAACAGAGCTGACTCCCGAAACCGGAAGGACATGGCAACCAAACCTATCCTTTCATAGTGTCAAATGATATAGTGAGTTCTCAGATAGCTGCAACATATGGCTGACAGTAAGTGACTATTTTGCTTTCAAAAAGATTGAAAGCTGATTTTTAAAAATGGACATGAGTGGGTTTTGACTTAACATAATTGAGTATGTATATGAAATTCCACGACTTGTTCTAGATCCGTAGGATGCTTTTACCATTACACACGACAGATTAACAGAAGACTTCTTCTCTGGCTCTTTTCACGTACTCTTTTGGAGCTGTTACCGGTTGTTGTTTTGATAAGAACAGTATGTCAAACCACTGAGAACTGGTCCAATCAACCGTTACTGGGTTAATTTTGGGAAGGAGAGATACAAGCCTTAACATATTCATCATCTCTTATTGTCTGACTGTTTTCAAGTCATCCCTCTAGGTATTTGTTTGATATTTCCTCGTGTAATTTTACCGCGGGACATGTGCTGTGTGCACTCAACCTTGATGGTTTTAGGTCACCTTTGTAATTTCCAATGGTTTGCTTCCCTTTATGCATCGCCGGACATTTTGGTTGAAAAAAAAGAATAAAAAGACGGCATCAGGAAACTAATGGTGAAATAGTTCTTGACTGGGTCCAAACCTGGAAGCGGATTACCTCTGTCAATCTCAGTCAAGTAATAGTAGAGTTTTTATATCAAAGTGTCTCACCAGCATCAATACTTTTAGGCGCAGATTCCAGTTTGATGTCCCCGGTACAATGCAGTGGTTGGAACAAATCTCCAGAAGATAGAGATGCACTATATGCAATTTGTTCCGATAATTCGCCGTTGGTGTTTTTGAGAAAATCTGTTTCCTCGTTTTCAAACTGATCACGGAGCTGGCTGACCAGTTTCAATAGAGAGATACACGCAGTCAAGCGAAAATCGTCTGTGCAACAAAAAAGCCCATGCGGTTAAAGTTAACAGGAAAAGTATATTTTTACATTACAAACTTGACAAAGTCGTAAGTAGAAGCAATTGTAAAAGTATTTTCGGCATGTCTTCGACCTCAATGGCTTCCAAACAGATATCAATTTGTGAGTTTACTTTCTTAGATTGGATTTTTCTTTATAGGGAGCAAAGTTAAGTCTAATATCCACCCACCATATAACACTTTCCATTCAAATCCCTTAAGTTCCGATTGAACCCCTGTAAAAATCAGTGTCTGATACGGTCAGACAATCAGAACTGGTGAGAATGGCATCCTCCATAAAATAAGGCGACTTGTTAACCGAGAAAAGAAACTGACGCCTGTAATTTGAGGTCAAGTTTATGCCTCATGGGTGACACAGAGAGGGTACAATGACGATTCATAGAAAGACCGGCAAAAATAGAACGGTCGAGGGTGCGAAGAGCTGACTTATTGTTCTACGGAACCTTTAGAGTTCGCTTTGTTCAGCAATGTGCAAGAATATAACATAGTTCATCAACAAAATGGACCATACGCAGTAATTATCCATCAGACTGCATAACACCTGGAGCTAAAAAATCGTAATTATTTCACCTATGAATTGAGTGCTTATCAAGATGATATTGCGTTCTAGACACGATCGTCTCAGTAAAATTACCTAACACAAAAAAGCCTGTATACAAAGTATCCTACTACCATGCTGTCTACTCTGTCTGATTTCAGACCCACAGCAAAGTCCCTCGGTAATTCCGCACAACCTTTCAAAACATTTGCCCTTTATGCACTCCAAAAGAAACAGACCAGTTGTGCGGCACATTTTTCGCAGGTTTACTATTATACTTTTCCGGCGGAGGCAAGTCCAATTGGATCCTGAGGGAGGATGCAAAGACGATTTACACAATGAAGGTGGTCCATTCAAAAGCTTCTTGTTTGCCTGTAAAGTCGGATGAGCTTGGACACTAACTGATCACAGAATCAGTGAGATCCGGATGGCTTTCTCCCAATTTTTAGTCTAAGCTAACTGCTCAGAATTCAAGTAAAGTTCACTTTCAGTTGTTAGTTAGCAATCCCTACGCTCTTTGGTACGGTCATCACTTTGCGAAAAGTGTTTAACCGAAGCTGTATGCACAAAAGGAGTACAAACACTAAGAACTTATCTAATTTTCACTGTACAATTCAGCTGGATTTTGTTGATAGGGCTGTCACCAAGTGCGGAAAAGTTGGATGCCATTGTTTTTAATAGTCATAGAGATGTCTTATTTGTCTAGAAGTTGTATTATGAAACGTAAACGCTGGTAAATCTAGCAGCTGCCCCAGGTGGAGTGTTCGTGATATCATTGCAACTGAGCTGTTTAGTTTAAGCCCAAAGCACGCAAATTTCTCGTAAGGAGTATTGCAATTACTGGGCACTTTACCCGTTTTATTTCAGTAATTTGTGAACAGTGAAGTGCCAGCGATGAAAAAGTCAGTGACATGCATTACAATGATAACCGCGCATAGTTATCGGGAGGAAATTTTACGTCAACAGAATTCGGCTACCAATGCGGATGAGAATAGCGAAGATGTCGACAGATTTCCTGCTTCCATAGCTGCTAATGAGTCTAGCAACTTATGTCAAAACTTGATGGAGGTTTGATCGGCTAGCAATGTGGACTGTAGGCCGGGAATAGTACACACTAGTTGTGTCTTTCAAATGAGAAATGAAACATACGCATGCCTAAATGTGAGTGCGTAATAAAAGATTGCCTAGAGAACTTGATGAAGTAAGCCTGATATACGGTTCTTCCCAAGCCCTGAAAGTTAGTGGGACAAACCACAGTCCGGTTGAATACTGTTATGGAATCCTTAAGCGAAATGTAAAAAAGAACGTTTCAGGTGCCATTATGCGCTGAAAGCAAACTGAGAGTTAACGTACCCACAAAGGCCTGCTTATCCTCATCATCGGCAAGAATATAGCAGCGAGGAAAGAATTCACTCGCATCTCTATCCTCAAACCATCGCAGCTGACGCAGCCAAAGGCACAGTCCCACCTGCAATGGTGAAGGCAGGTAGTTCCAAAGTTGTAGGGGTAAAGCCAATAGGGATATTTATGTAAGTTAAATAGATGTACCAGGGATCCTTCTCCTATCGACGACAAAAATGTTGGTGAAGATGACAATGTTTGCGATAATGACGATCATTTTCCTAATGATGATGACCGACCTTTACTTGGGCATCAATGAGCCTGTTTGATTTAAAACCCTTATTGCCTATTTTCACAATGAATTTGATGTCTTGCTTTATGCCACGGTAAGTTATCAGCACAAAGAACTTCAGTGTTCCTGCTCCTCACATATGGTGGAGAATGAGGAATGGATACTGCATACTCATCAGCTTAATTCTAAGCGAAATGCTTTGAGTCAGAATGAGTTGACTTCAGAAATATCTCGGATAGCAGCCGTTCTTCAGAGCGGCTGCAAGGTTTGAAGAAGTCAGAACACCATTGTGGTTCCAGCGACGAATTCCGCATATTGCCCCTGACCGTGGTAGGATAAGTGTCTATCTATCATCCGATGCACGAATGCCACCAGTGACGTGTTGTAATGTTTGTCTCTTTTGCGAGGCACTCACCAAAGCCATTACCAAGTTGGCCGTTGAAGGACCTGAGCTGCAAGGTTTGAAGAAGTCAGAACACCATTGTGGTTCCAGCGACGAATTCCGCATATTGCCCCTGACCGTGGTAGGATAAGTGTCTATCTATCATCCGATGCACGAATGCCACCAGTGACGTGTTGTAATGTTTGTCTCTTTTGCGAGGCACTCACCAAAGCCATTACCAAGTTGGCCGTTGAAGGACCTGAAACAGGTGTGACTGGATAATTTCTTCCGTTACCAAACTTTTATTATTCATTAAAAGCAATGGCTGTCAGAATCTTCCAATCTACGTGTATTCCCTGCCTATGTAAACCACGTTTTGCAGACGCATAATAGAACCAAACGGATCTTCGGATTTAAGACTCGGATTGTCGTGCTCAGATTCTACTTCCTCTCCACAGTGCGTTGTTCAGCTGAATAGGACCATGCCTGGCATGGTCCTTAATCCAAGTAAGTAAGTACAGTAGCATGTTCAGTTTCTACACCACTTATGTGGAGAGNNNATATATATGGACAGAAGAAGCCTTCATCTCCGTGGTATATTTCCATAGTTCTAGGACTATTGTGTCGTAAGCTAGATCGTCTAGCCCGTGTTTTGAAATCTACTCAACTGGTAGCTTAACGGGTCATCACCAGCGTGTTCCAAGTCCTCCGTCTGGCTTTGATGACTCAGCTTGACATTACAGTATTCTTACTAAGAGGGCTGAAGTAACCAGTTAAGTGCGAAGTTCAGAAAAAAACTTTATCAATTGAGGACATCATCATACATTAGATAATCTCCTGAAATCAGAGGGTTTTTCATCCTTATATAAACAAGTTGGCCTCCATGATCAGGCGAATGCTGATTACTTGAAAATTAGCATTGCTGTATACCAAAGTCCATATTTCCTCTTCGTTATCGTCGTAGATATCTTTTATGTAGAGGCAGTGAATTATCAAAGTCATTATCAGGAAAATCAGCTGCGCTGGTCATTGCCGTCTTCATTGATGGAGGATCCAGAGATGAAACACTGAATCCCAAACTCCGCATCTATCCAGGATAACAAATAAACGGTATTCTCCCCGCAATAAGGGAGACCATCCACCTCCCGTACTGAGATACACCTTGTAACAAAAGACAAACTCCCCGACTCTCTCCACTCTCAAAGAACAAGACTACTCTAAATGTCCTCACGGAGCAAACCATCAGCTCACCAAAGATCAGGACATGATGAATTTCTGCCAACAGGGGACAACCCCTCGCCCTACACAGACTACTGAAAAGGGTTTCCCTTAGAGGAAAAATAATCGTTCAGCTGCATCACATATTTACAGCATAGCTACCGTGTCATCCGAAGGAAGCAGGGGGCTGATATACTGACAGATTTCTCAAGTCTAGACAGAAGAAATTTATATGTCGGCTTTGAATTCGAACCACGAACCTTCCAGTCTGTGAGCTCTCTCGGGCCCTCGCAAGAAAACACTTTAAAGAACTAAGAAAAATCAGGTTCCTAAGCTATTTGTATTTTTTTAGAGAGATTATACTACTTAAATAAGCTTCGTAGTCAAACAGTGTTTTCCGATGGTTAGTCTATCCATTCTCTGCAGAATAGTGATAGACAAGGTTTTACGAGTTTGATATCAGCCTTTATAGATCCTCATGACAGGACAGCTTGAACGGGAATATTGGCTGATGATGTTACGCCATGTAATTCTGTGTCATCCCGCGCCAAACGTCCAGTAGATCTGTGCAGACCTAACCGAGATTTAGATAACCTCGGTATTAGCGTTGTATATTTGTGGAATGGATACCCTTGTAACGGCGGATACTACTGTTGAGGCATGTGAGTAGTATGTGTTTTCTCGTAGCTCCGCCTCACGTCTAATGGGAGGTGAGGTTTATTACGGAACTTGTGCAACTACTTTTCAGCTTTCGTTTACAATTGGGTGATAGTCAGTGAATATCCACCAAAGTTGAGAAAAACGCGTGAGAATGTTCAGTTTTTGAAGAACATGTACATATGAGACGTTTACTTTCCTGTCCAATAATTTGTAACTGCTTAGTTGGTGTTTACTAATAAATGACTTCGCGGTGAAGGGCTTTCTTCATTTCGCCCGTAGCGGAGTAAAAATTGTTACAAAGCGATCGCGTACAAGTGTGGATCCACATGAGAGTTTGTGGTGCCATTACAGCTGGCCTTATTGAGATGTTGGCTTACTAACTTTCACCGCAGTGACAGTGTCCACGAACAAAAAAGCGGACTTTGTACGAAGGCATCCATTATATTACAGGTGCCACGCTATCGATAGAAAAGTTTCCCGAGAGGGACTGCAACTCTCCAACTAGGATCGCTGACAGTTTCTCGTGGATTTCCTTGTTTGGGGAGTGCGTTTTATTCCATCCACTAATGCTAGAATGTTTTTGGAGGAGGCAAATATAAAGTACAACGGAACTATCCACAAAAAGCAAACAGTCAAGACAACAGCTGATTACACTCAACGCAAACACGGAGGGCACGAATATACTTTTGCTCACCTTGGTTGTGAAAGGTGCCCGACAATGGTGGTTTATGATTTGGTCTTTTCGTAGAAAGCGGAAATCCACTTGACTCTTTTTAAGTGACCATATGAAAGAAGGATATGCGGACCGGACCAATCGAGACTGAAAACCGAGCAGGAATATTGATGCAAAGTGCTACTGTACAGCCCAGTGTGATAAAGAACAAGTACACGTCAACCAAGCATGGTAACGAATCAAGTCTTCGTTTCGTGTACATCTTACGTTCCTGAATGACATGGAAAAATAACGCCGACTGCGGCGCCGTTAATGCCCAACTCAACGCAGATACGAATACAAACGAATAACTATAGGGTATGTTCACTGTACACGAATGCGATATTAGACAATGAGAATCATTTGGGAGTAGCAATGAAAAAAAAGGGAAACCCGAAGTTCAAATCAGTGGCATTGGTTGACGAGCCACTAAAGTTTCGTAAATGCTTGAGAGTTGATACGACGGATAGGCAAACAGCGAGGGATCTTTCACCCGCACTCTCAGTCATGCCACCTTGTTGAAGCTTTAATAATTCCCATTTTGTTTAACCTTGCGATGGAGTTCATGTAGGTCATTGGTCAAGGCCATGTAGTGAAATTCCATGATGTGGCCGAATTTCCAACATTAGTATGGCTCAAATTTCCATAAAATTATGCCACTTTTATGGATTGAATTTACGCCACGCAAGTTACCTTCTGCGTTCTGGTTAACCGCGGGAATTAGATATGCATGTATGTACCGGATAATTTTGTATTCTCTTTCACTACTGATACGGGTGACATGTTGATTGGCTTTTTCGAATGCTGCGTGACTGATGTTTGTCCGCCGGTCAAGGCACTTTTGCTTTCCTATCAGATGTTTTCAAATCGAGACGAACATGGGTGTTTTTCTCCTACCTTCATAAGCTGGGTTACATCCACCTTTCATCTATACCAAAAGATACACCGTGCTATTTCCTCTAGAAGTCGAGCTTCGTGTATAATCAGCTAGCTCGTAGTTCTAGCTCAAAGTTGCTATGGCCTAAAAAATTTACGTATATTTTATCCGGAAACTTTTAACTAGCAAATTTTGAAGTCTTACGGTGGTAGGCAATTTTTGTATGATACCTTCAAAAACGGCTGGACTTCCTGAAAAGCCGATTAAGTGCAAAGTCCACTAATCCTTTCGATGCCATACGAACTTGCACACCCCAGAAACCGAGTGATTAGCCGATGTACCTATCTGTTCATTCTGACCAAGCATAAGCAGCTGCATATTCATTGAACGCATTGCATCTTCCATCCCTATAACGGAGAATCGGAATACCAGTCCAGTGAACTAACTCAGCCAGAGCATGTGAAGTTAGAAGGTTCACCTACACTTGTCCCACTGCGAAGTTTGTGCCTCACTCAAACGAGTGCTTGTTTTACATTGGACAATTTTCTACTTACCGATTACTTTTCTTCCAGCTAGCAGAATGTCTAGCCAGTTTTAAGTGACAGCCACAGGAGTCCATCCGCTTCTTAGAGTCACTTTTCCCTTTTTGTAACCTCTAACATCTATCCCATGATCAGACAGACAGGGTTTGTCAAATGATACTCATGCTTTCACAAGCAAACTTAGAGAAGTGGCAACTGTGCTTACGCCCGCATTTTTTGAGTTGACTAAAATATGTGCCCATGTAAGTCCTTAGAGCGCATGATCATCCAGGTTATGTTTTTGCATAAATTACAGTTAATAGTACTCACTAAAATTGCGTAATAGCCATCCTTCTCTTGCCAGGGAGGGACAGTACAGGTCGCTATAATGTAAGATAGTGAAAGAAGCGTCGAAGGTAACCGAAAGTAATACCTTTCTAAAATTGCAGTGAATGATACTACAACACAGATACTTAAAAAACGACTGACACGAATCACGGTGATTCTTGTACACCCTTCCACACCAGGGTTGTATTACTTATTGGGTTGAATCCAACATTGTCAGCAAAAAGACAGATGAGGTGCTACCTACTCAAGGTACATTTTATAGCAAAGTCTTTGGAATGAGTGAACGAACTGGATCCTTTTTGTGCTGCACTAGAGAAGTAGCCCTTAAAAGCATCAAATCCTTAGCCAATTAGGAAACTTATAGATTTTTGTCATCAAGCGAATATTATTCAGACGGTGAGGGCGCACAGCTAACCACCGATGGCGCTGTAAACATCTACGTATTTACTACAAGCAATTTTGTTTTGTTCTCGGACCACCAGTCACCGTGAACTGTATATCCGCTGAGGGCAAGCCAGAAAAACTTACAATTTAAGCCCACAATCGAGTGATGGTTTCGCCCCAGTCCTTAAGCCAGAAGAGAATGAACAATGAAGTGGATCTGATCAAGTCATCTCATTTTCTCAACACTATACTGACGATAACACAAGGATGTCTCGTGTGAAAAACGGAACAGGAAGGAAGGATAGTGTTGCTATGGGCTGAGCATCTCAAGACGACCAATCAGGTAACCTGGATAGAAGGTGAAGCTGAGAGCGCCACCAACATTCACTTACAGCTGTATAATCTAAGATAGATGCAATATTTTTCCTAGATGCCTTCTTCTGTGGATGTGTCGAACGGCGTTTGAGAAAAGTGTGCTTATAAAGCAAATTAAAACAGCAGAATTTGGCTGAACCGTGGTCAGCTTTAGCCATCAGCCTGTCCAGTAAACCAGCATTCTATTATTTGGGTCCGTAATCAACATGAAACGCTTCAACTTGACTTATGACTGTCGTTCTGATAGTATGTCTACACAAGATTCTAAAAGGATTGTTCTAAACTGCACAGGTGAACAGCCGAAAATGATGCTGATGCGGCTCACTTTTAATAGATCACTGGGATGATAAAGAAAGCATCTACTCAAAAATTCACTAGGGAAATGCTACCGGATAGGAGGGGAGCTACTGTGACATTGACATAGTTTTATATAATCCACAACGCTTATTTAGCAGCAGCCAAACAACTCGCTGCCTTCTCCAGATTGTGAATGGCGAGAAAAAGCATTTATCCTGGCTTACTGGTTTATACTCTAGTTTTATACCGGTACAAAGAAGCAATACTGTGGTACTGCTACTAAAACGGAACATAAGGCTATGTGTTTATGTTGTTACTTGCAGTTCGTTGTTTATCCATCACAACGAAGTTCGAATCAGCAAAGATAAAACAACATATCAGTTGGCAGTGAGTAAGGAAACGTCTCATAATAGACGGATGTCGTAGTACTTTTCAACCTGAGTAGAAGTAAAATCATCCATTAATCTACAGCTTTATTTTTGTGGCACCATAATCAGCTTGATTTTGAGATCTTATTGTGAGATCTAGGACACAAAGAAGAAGAGAGCTATGACTGATAAGTGTTTGCAAATATTCAATCTTAACGTACGATCAGTGGTTGACGGACGCATCGGGTTGTCAGAATCTTCATCATCTATATATGTAGGATTCGGAACCAATTTTCTTTCATCTGAACATCTATCCAAGGAAACAGAAAGCTGGTGTTTGTTCCTCTTCACTGTTGATCGGGAGCGTTCATCTTGGGACTGGTTGCCTGATAGAATTGGTTCGAAACTTTCCACCCAACCGCGGGACCTTAAAGCCATTCGTACAGCATGATAAGGGCCAAGGATTGAAAATATACGGTGATTCTAGAAACGGAGAAATAGTTCTTGAGTTGGTACCATGGTCTGGATGTACGACTTAAGCAGAAGGTAAAAACGACGTATTTTCTGAAAAGGCAATTAGATAAGTGAGGGTGTAAGTGTTTATCCACGGGAAAAAACTACTATTGAAATTCTGTTTTGTTACTGCCATAGGCTAACGATTGAACGGAGGAGACCGATAACCCAAACTAATCTTTGCCAAACAAAGACTAGAAAGAAAACTCTGGAGATGATAGTAAACCTCGTTTGGTTTATTTTTACTCAGTAACCCCTTTGTGATGATGCAGATTTGGTTTAGTTTAATTAAGAGACTGATCTTTCCGTTCATATTCACAAAAATTAAAAGGTAATAATAGGTTCAATAGAATTCGTGTGACATTGTAATATTTCGCTTTTTGGGGCTCTTTTGGATAAACATTTTTCCTGAGAATTTTAATTATGGGCTTTATGAGTTCTTCTCAAAATTGTCTATACCTGCTACTGGCGGAAGTAAAATCAGACCATCATCACAATCGCCCTGGTAATGTGAAATCTATTTTTAGGACAACAGTACAGCTTCGAACAACATGGTGCTATAATCCACTAGGTTAATAGTGAAATCCATTAAAAAATTGTGTGGAAAGCCTTAGAGTATCTAAAATATTTTCTGAAGAATAGAAGATGACAGTCAGTCGTTTTCACAGTCCTTATTTTGCACGCTCAGAGCGAAAGGATAAAAAATAAGTCCCAATTTGGCCCACCTTACAGTCCTCCCACTTAAGAATGATCATCGTCATGATAAACTGACGTTCGGAACCATTTGTTTGGTCCTTCGCAGTTTAGCCTAGAAGTGACTTTTATATCAGAGTAGGTTACTCAGCAGACAGATCGCTGCTGGTCTGTTCCTTTTAGAGGGCGACAAAACATCTTCAAAATTACAGACAATCCTCTGACGTTCTCCTTCTCGACAGTACCTTTACCGCTAATTCGGCCTTTTTCTTTGCTTCTTTTAATACATTTGAAGGCACCAGGGTCGTTTTCGCTTCAGTTACCATAGGAACATTGGTATGAGGTCTTGGAGGAGGTAAGCACCGCCTGACAGTTCTTGATGTGGGAGATATAGGGCTATCCTTTCTCGGCGTCACGGGTGGAGATGGCACATTCAGTTGAGTGGTAATTTCCCCGAGGGGAAAGTCCGTTTGTGATAAAGACGTCTCGGATTCAGAATATGGGGAATACAGACCGGAAACAGGTAGAGAAACCGCGTTGCGTCCTCCCACTGTCACAATCCGCGGGCTCACTAGTGCGCGAAAATTCGTTGATCTGTTTTCCCCTATGGCATCTGCAGCTGAAGGGCAATCATTTCGAGCATTTACGGCATGGGCTTTACGTTCAGAAGGCAAGCTACCGGATGCATCATTCTCTCCGCCTTCTAGATGATTGTGCTCACCGCTTGCTGATTGGCAAAAACCGTCCAGACGGTAAAATTCTATGAGGTAGGATAAATTTTTCAAGGATTCTCTGTGACAAAAATTGGCCAGAACACAGAAAATTTGCAAAGAATGTAGTATGCAACAGCTTTACTGAAGTTAAAATGGGCTATTTGATAAGAATTAGTACGCCCATTTTACCGTGATTGCGCTCATAAGAATTTTACTGCATTGTTCTGCCACATTTCACCAGTGGTGAAAATTAGCGCCCTAGCTGGTAGTACTAAACTTTTGAGGATGTATAATGTTTGACTATGGCAGGTACTGGGAACTATCACATGGATGGTTAACTGAAATAGTAGCTTGAATCACTGCTACCCAGGATTTTGGACCCAGCATTGTTAAAAATCTGAGAGGACGAGGCATATGCACACAATCTCAGCAGCTTCCGTAAAAAACACGGCGTCTTGCACAACTGCTGACTCTACTCATACCGGTGAAAAACAGCAGCTCTTTATAATCTGGAAAATAAATTCTGTCAGAGTTAGCATATATCTGACTACAAAAACTACTGAAGTAGTGGTTCACAGTCTTTCGTCGTACTGTGGAAGGAAAATTCATTCCTTGAAATTTTTTTCGGTCAAAACAAAAGTTGAAAAAATCCTCATGGAAAAACTCAGTATTATTGCTCTGTTAGTGTCCTATAAATCAGGTCAGAAGGACAATAGGCCGATGGAGACAAGACACTCCGTAGAAATACTAGTGAATTGGTAGCTTTTGATGTTTTCCTAAGTAGCTCCAGAAATCTCACTTGTGTGATAGCAACAACACGATATACGTGATTTTTTGACTACACATACCTTGGTCCACAAGGGAATCGAGATACCAGATGTCAGTACCACTGTGGACAATACACAGATAACCACCTCTGGTCACCTAAGGTATAAAGTGCTTAAGAGAAGCCATAATTCTCTATTTTGTTAGTGAGAACCCAAATGTTTGGAGAAAATAGCCGTGCTTGAAAAAAAGGTGATGAGAAAATGGAAATGATATAGAGGCGAGGATTGTTGTACTATCCGTACTAGGTTCCACCTGGCAACAACGACAGAGCATAAGCCAATTTATAGTTCTGTGGATTAGTTGTGGAAGGTGTAAAGTCTCCATATATTTTCTAACGTTCCAGACTCACAAATTATTACAACAGATTTTTCACCGTTTGTAATCCTTTACAATTCTCCTCAACAACGGGTGCCTCGTTTGGGGAAGAACCGAATGAGGACAAACATTTCTCCCTAGGGATCTCAAACAACCAGTCACTAGCGAAAAAGATACGGTAGAATGCATCGAGATGAAATAGATATTGTGGGCTTACATGAAATTCACCGAAGAGCGCTTTTGCATTACTGGCAATAGGTAATCTAGATGGTATCATGAACAGCAAAATGATCAGAAATGGAGGGGTTGGTGTACACCCTATCGCTGAGCTAATGCAAAGACAGTTTGGCGGTAAGCGCAATAAGCAACCTCTTATATCATGCACCTCCATTTGAGACTAAAGTTGTAGATGTCAAAGCTTTCAAACACTGTTGAACGTTTGGTAATCGGATTTCCCTCATGTATCATTTGGCTACGGTACCTGCGAACTAATTCTGGGCAGGGTAGACGTCCCACAGTAGGTAGGATATTGTGGTCCTCTGAGCATTTAGTCTGGTCATTTGTTTTTCATATTTCGGTCTCAGGTCTATTCATGTTCACTAGTAGGATGTGTGTAGCACTGTACGGAGATCAAACGGAACCCTTTCCATGCTCCTGCTAAGTACATTTGACCATTTTCTTCGAGTAATAACCCCACCCAAACCACAAACACGTTATCAGAATTAGGTGTGGCTCTCATTAAGCACATAAAAAAGACAAAGGAATTAAACTTTTAGAGACGGGGGCCCACTGATTTAAATTTCACGCAAATTTTATGTGGAGTTTATTCAAATTTCCGGGTCCTGCTTCCTTCTAAGTCCTTGGAATCTCCAGAAAATCAGAGCTTCCTCCGTTTGACAACCACGTTCACCTCGATTACACTGAAACAGAATCTGTTTTTATGTGCTCTACTTCTCCCTAAGTTTATTTCTAAGTTTCTAAGTTTCTATCTAAGTTTTCCCTTCACTGCAACATACCTTCCAGTTGCAGGCGTTGGTTGAGTTGAGCAGGTAGTAGAAAAAGCCGCTAAAATAATCTTACGAACAGATATGCCTTTGGACCCCAGCTTGACCCTTTTGCTGCGCGACTTTAAACTTTTGATTAGTATGGTGTAGATGTGCTAATAAACTGGACAGCACTTCTTTGCTATAATAACAAACACCCAAAATTTATTGATCTGCAATGTGCTTGATTTCGAATGGCGTCTTTCGCAGCTACAAATTATTGTCAATCCTTGATTTTTAACACGAGACAGCAGTATAGGGACCACAAGTAATAAAATATGAAAGCCCACGCTGTTAGGAACTGTTTGAAAGTGAGATTTGGTTCGATTACAGGTGTCCGAATAATCTTAGCTGACAGATTAACGATCAGCTTCATTCTCATGCTTCAACTCGCCTTAGTGGCTGATGCCTGAATGTACAACAAATATGATTAAACACCTAATAAGCTTCTGTCTGTAAGGCCACCTCTTGCCACCTTTTTCCATTAAAAAGATCCATGCCGACAGCAACACCAGTGTACAACACTGATAATTTGTGGCCATATCACAGTTCAGCTATAATTAAATAGAGCTTCTAAGTGACTCAGTTAGCGATGCAGATATTCTTGAAACGAATGGTAACTGGTCTGGGAAGATCTCATTGTACACGCGAAATAATCTTACCACACTCAGGTGTAGTGGGCGCTTTTGGGGGTGCGATATGTTCCGTATCATTCACCGGCGATGAGCTTGCTTTTGGGCCATCTGACGGGCATAACGAAGATTTGCGAGATGTGCGTTTTCCAAAAAGCCTTCTTTGAAATAAAAGTTTCATCATATCACAGTTGGGAGGGCTAATATACCCCTCACGCCATGCGTTGCTGCTGTAAATGAAAGGGATACATACCGGTAGAAAAAAGTGATTTTTTCCAACTATGTTTATTCGAACGGGAAAGTGTGTTTTTTTTACAGAAAAATACAGTACCAGTCAGTAATATTGTACTGAAGTTAGTCTTTTCAACTGTGGGCAAGAATGCACTTTAGCCTGACGGCAACGCAAGACTATAGCCTATAAATCCTCCTTTAATGGGCTATAAGTTGGCATGTATATCATGGCGAATTGCTTACTCCGGTCAGGTTTAAAGCTCACTAAACGTACGGGCTGATGCTAGTGCCACAACCTCGTAAAGAAGCTCTTACTGTTTTGCCCCATACGAACTGGACCTGCACGATAAATACCTCATTTGCGACTATATAGTTACGCATAGTCGCTGGATGGCGTTTTAGTTACCACTGATTTGTGTCAATTGATAATCAACAATCGCGCCACATGCGTATGGAAACCGCGAAAGTCTCCGGGGTTATATTTTAAAAAATTTACACCATAAACAAAGACGGAGTGCAACTGGATCAAAGTAAGGTTATATTTGTTATTAAAATCTTACATAGCCTTTTATGAGCTCCTCATAGGTCACTAAAATGAAGAATCGAAAAGTTATGGTACTGGTGATATTCTCTAGTCGCTAACTGTCTTTGCGTAAGGTGCAAAGCTTTTTTAATGTAATCTCCGACGCCCTACACGGTCTGCAAATGCATCTGATGGGAGTGTTGTTGACACAAATCAGTGATACCTAAAGCGCCATTCAGCGACTATGCATAACTATACAGTCGAAAATGAGGTACTTATCGTGCTGGTTCAATTTGTATGTGATGAACTAACAAAAAATTGTTTCCGAGGTTGTGGTAATAGCATTAGCCCCTAAGAAGCATTTCATGAACTCATCATAAGTCACAAAAATACGGAATCTAAAAGTTGTGGTAATAGTGGTATTCCTTTGAAAGAGCTAGCGGTTGGTACAAGGGTGTGGCATTCACAGGTGGTAATACTGTCCGACTGATTTTGCGAAACAGGCCACAAGGATCACAAGTAACCCAGGGTTACGCCGAATCATAAACTCGGCAAGGTCAATACGTAAATTTTGAAATTCCTAAACAAAACTAAGCCATTTAGTTTGATGACCACAGGACTGTCAAGGTTTTAACGCCCGAGAAATCAATGACAGTTTCACTGGAAGTGGATGGTGAGACAGTATAAGCAGGTCACTTATATACGGGATTTTTGCATAGTAAATGAAAGAATAGCAGAATGATAAGCGACATGGTCGACTGGATCAAAAGAGGACCACAGCTATGCATCACTAGGCCCGGCGCATGACACTTGTTACTTTTTGAAAAAGAAAAACACTGGACAGCAGCAAAATCAATTACATCAATCAGTAAGGCAGTGTGGTGAATGAGAGGAGACGAAATGTCAATACGGCCCTGAAAGTGTCGTTCAGCTTCTTTTTCATAAAGGAAACTACTCACAAGGTCGCTGAAAACTCTTCAGCCTCTTGTGTGGAATGTGTAGTTCCTCGCGGATTTCATCGGATAAGTTCGAAAAGGAAACGGATATTCAACGTTCGTATTTAGTGCCAACGTGTTTCTGTTAGCATTCTGTCTTTGGCTATAGTTTGTTCCTGTTCTTCACGAAAGCCATTTACTTTCTAACATGTACATTTTCTACGGCTGTTGAAATCCATTCAACGCGGGACATATAACACATGGTCGTCGGTTGAAAAAGGACGCTCATCCTAGGCTGCTCTGAAACCATGGCATGGACGAAGGAAAGTTTGGCATATTGTCTCAGCATTTCATTATATTTATTCGAACCCTTGAAATCTTAAAATGCATCCACAGTTTTGATGGGCTCGGAATCCATATTTAAGTGGCTTTCAACGGATTCGTATGATGCCTCCGCGAAAGTCGTGAATAATTTTGCTCATTTCTCCAATGTTTTTTCTGTATTGGATTTGGGAATAACATGAAAATGCATGAACAATAATTACCTCCCCTCATACCACGCAAGCTCGAAATGGAGCACTCATTCCCGACCCGTATAGGGAAAAGTTTTGTAACGGACTAGAACCTTATCAGTTTGATCGAACAAGTTAACAAGTAAAGCAACCAATACAAAATCATAGTGAAGAAAGTATGAGTAGACAAATGACGACTCACGAATGCGTAGATCCAACTTTTCACTACACCGATCCAAATGCACTAAATGGCTGTGAAAGAAATATTCACTCGTAGAAATTTCCCACGGATAATTCGCGTGTGGGAGATATATTCCTCGACAGGAATGTTATTCACGGCTAAAAATATCGCGTGAATTTATTGTGACGTTCAACAGTTGACGCAAACACCGAGATTTAATCGCACTCGTTCAGCAGTCAGCAGACAGTCCAACGGAGCATAAATACATTCATTCAGCAAGCAGTCAGCAGGTCGCACCAGAAAATTGTGTATTCGGAAAATTAAAACAAACGTCAGTTTCAAGGTATAGTTTAAGTTCAGGAAAAATGGTAAATGTGACAACGGATTACAAACACTACAGTTTACTGCCGTTGCGGCATGTGTCCTGTGTAATAAAACCAGGGAATTCGGCACGGGTAACAGTTTATGTCATGAGGTCAAGTACACCCTCTTCGCCTTAAGGTTTTTGTTTTCACTGGTATGCTTACCTCCTGATAGTGCCATATGAAGAGTTAGTGCGTTTAGCCCGGCAGTTGCTATAATTAGCCAAGGAGCCCGTCAACGCGTACTGTAATGAGTACGAAGGCTCATCATAGACCATTGGATTAAGTTGCCCTGCATAATTCCTGTCTCATAATCATCGCCCTATATAGCTATGGGTCTTTCAGTTGCGGAAAACAGCTGAGGGGAGCGGCAACGCGTACGGTTGAGCGTGACAGCCGGTCGTTGGCCGCTAGGTCAATCTATAAGGTACAGCTGAGTTCTCGCGTTCATTCGCCTCTGTGGATACTGGCCTGTTGGTTACCTTGAATAGTGAAGATGTGTGACGACACTTACGGTAGCGCGTGCTGCTATCATGATGTTCTGCATTGAATGATTCTATTTTTCGCACTTTTAGTTTTGCTTGATGACGTTTAGAAATAAGGAGCAGCATTATTTCTAGTGAGATTGATACCGGTTGGTTGTTTATAAGGATACAGGTATTTCATAGTACTGCAACGCCTGCCCATTAGTTGTGAACATCAGAGGATGGGGATCATACATAGGTGCATAATGTAGTCAGTACTGAAAAGTGCATCCCATTCTCTTCCATCAATGTAATGGACGAGTCTAGCTTCCTTAAAAGTAATGTTGTGTAGAGGTTCGCAGTGCATGTCATCAACTTCGCTACGTTCGAGGGGTTTCATGCATACAAACGTTAATCCACTTCTGTCCTGGGTGGAATTTACTATGGGTGTTTATATTCTATCTGTAGCAAACAGTGCGGAATGCTATGGCACGCTCAGATTAAATTTCGTGCTTTGTCCTGTAAAACGTTATGCAATATGAATTGGGGGTGGTCGACAAATTTGAAATTTTACCCAATTGAACAAGATGTCATGAGCGATCTATTACCAAAACGCGAACAAAACCAACACTCTGTAAAAGTCTCAACTTCAAAGACCTCATGGTCAAACCTAAAATAATATGGGTTTACTTTTAGTAAGGGTCTTGAAGGAGGCAGCTTCCTAGACGCACATCGTAAATTTGTCTGGACGGGTGGTTCGAAAAATGGAAATTTTAACATAGAGTTTTAGCATTTGATCGTAATCATTTTGGCCCTGGAGATCTCCCCAAGCATCTTCAGGTTTATTGGAAGTTGGTTAAACAAACTCGGAGTCCACTGTGGGCACGAATTTCGTATTTTAATGGCTGCCGGCAGCTTTGCGCATTGTTCCCATGACAACGGTTAGAAATTTTGTGGAAGAGCTGGCTTATTCGCGTGTCTTCTAACGTGTTAGATTGGAAGATAATCCCAAAACAGCCTAGACAATAATCACGTCCAGTATGTCCACACGAACCCAAATTGGAGCAGCCATTCGCCATCTGGATGTGAAAAATTCTTCTTCGGCTGTTGCAAGCGTCCCGCCAAAGCTAAGGAATTCGTCACACCGAGTAAGTTGGTTTCTATGATAATCAGCATACGTGATATCGGTTTAAGATAAGGCTTGATATTCACCAGTACACCAAGCCACAAAGAGTGCCGTTGGATTCACGGATTGATGCACAGGATCGAGGCTTTTGCCCAAGTTTCCCGGGACGGTTTTGTTCTTGTCGGTCGGTAGCTGTC